TTTGAAATGCTACTAATCCTGTTGAAAGGAGTCTAGAAAGGGGACGAGTAGCAAGAAGGCCTCTTTCCTCCAAGCACCTTCTAGAAAAATAGTCTACGCTGCCTCAAGGCCTACCTTGCCCTGCAGAGGAAGGGAGGGAAGGGATGGAAGGAAGGAAGAAGCTCTTCCCTCTCTGGGCAAAGTTATCCAGAGCACCTCCTCCACAGAGGACAAGGTAGGATCCACAAGGAGAGCCCTATGGAATTGGACCAAGGGTGGTTTCCTTAGCCCTGCACCCTGTTTCCAGATGCCAGTGGGAAACCCAGAGGCAGGACATGAGGAAGGCTGCCTTGAGGGGATGCACTCTGCCAGAGCCATGCCCCAGCATCCTTGGGGGGCACATTTCATGGCTCCAGTCTAAGAACTGGGCCAATCACATGCCTTTTCTGGATATTTATCCCTCTGTTTTTCTGAAGGCTGAAGTGGCTTACAGCATTTCAGCATTTTAATGTCCTAACTATGAAACACCAGTAAAAATAGCATTCACAGGGTGAGGTGGTGGTGGTGGGCTCTCCCTCTCCCAAGAACCGGGTGAGATCCCGGAATTCAGATGCCATGGGAGAGCAGGGACATTGGGAGTTCAGCTCTGGGCTGCAGTTAGTTTCTGAGCTGCGAGGCGATAGCAGCAAATGTTTATGTGCTTTCCGTGTTACTTGCAAAATATATCAAGTGTTTCCCTCCATCCTACTGCCCCCCTTCCAATTTGGCTCGGTTCCATGGACCGTGCCCCCATGAGCTAAATTACTTAACTGCTTACAGTGCCACATAGCAAAAACATGACACCCCTTTTAGCAAACCACGGAATGCAACTCTGGGGTTCAAACCAAAACAAATGACCTCAGCAACTCTTGGGAGATTATACACACACACACACACATACATATTTACACACACACACTTAAAGCAGAATTAAGTTGTAAAACCCAATGGCTGATTTATGGCCACAGTCAGCCTTAATTAACATTGATTCCAGGGGAATAGTAAACGTTGAATAGGGTTCACAATTGAAGGTGAACAATGCCCTCTCTGGGTGTTGTTCAATTTGTAGCATGATTTACATGGAGGCGAGCCCTTCCATTCCTGGGGTTATCCCTTTTTCATCTGGTCCTTGGGATGAGTTATATATAATCCACTGATAGCAACATTTGCTGTCAAATAGTCCCCTTGATTTAAAGTTACCCACTACAATGGTCACTATAAATAAGAAGGAAATAAAAGAGGGAAACGAAAACCCAATTTGAGGCTTTGCAGGGATTCCTTGTTTGGGCAATGTGTCATCGCTTGTCCAGGCCCGTGGCGTTTTTACGAACTGGCCGTAATGAAAGTCAGATCAAATGTACGGGCTCTAAACATTTAATCAACAACCACTGGAACCGGACAAGTTCTTTAAAAGCCCCAGCAAGCTCAAATTTATTGTCTAAGAACCTCGCTCTTGGTGGGGAGGGAAGCCGGTGGAGGAATGGCACTACCTGACACCAAACGCCTAAAACTTTCAAAACGTGAGTTATTTAAACATAAGGTTGTGCTTGTAAAGCCGCCAGCTGCTGGATTTCAAGATTTGAAACCTTTCCAAGAGTTTGGACGAGGTACTTTATATGGGCAGGAGAGTAAATACTCCAATTTTACTGCCAATTTAGAGGCGCTCGGTTTACAGTAATGAGCTTGCCTTGACCGTCCTTTGTTTATAGAAAGTGGAACAGGAAGAAATGAACGTTAACCATTAACAGTAGCAATCCCTCAAGCCTCTCCTCCTCTCTCTGCTCCGTGCCAGGCTGACGCCTTGCTCTTATTGGAAGGCTGGCCGGACACCTTGTCAACCGCAACTGGTCATGTAGAGAATAAAACTATTGGAGTGGATGCAGGGTCGCTCAAAAAGCGGCCTTCCAACAGCATTCTCCAAACGCTGTCTGTGGAACTCATTGTCACAGGATGTTGGATTGACTACTTGCACCAGCAGCTTGTCAGGATCAGCCCTTCCATTAGGCAGAGGGAAGCATCTGCTTCAGGCGGGACGTGGCCAGGGTTAGCTTCAGCCACCTTCCATCACCCCCCCGAATCTCCTCAGCTAGCATGCTGCCCTCACAGACCTGGGTGGGGAAATGTTGCCTAATTTCTTGTGTGGGAGTCAGATTCAGTGGGTGGTCCAGTTGGATCCTGCACATGGAATGAGGTCATGTGTCCCATCTTGACCTTCTTTGCCTCAGGCAGCAAAATCTCTTGGGCAAACTTTGCTGAGGTCTGGACAGTGGTGGTGCTGAAGGCTGACATCTCTCCGTTGCTCAGATCTGGAAGGGGTTAAGGTAGGGCTGCCATACGTCCATAATTTCCCAGGTATCGGTGGGATTCGCCCGTCGTGTGTGTCCAGATTTTCACTTGAAATAGAGCAACCCTAGTTAAGGAATATCACCTGACCCACTCTGACCTATTGGTGAGATTCCTTGGATGGTGAGGTTATTTCATGGCTCCATAGGTCCTTCCCTCAGCCAGAGCTGGCAGCAGGGGGCAGAACAATGGCTGGACATACCTTAAGGTTAATCATGTGGCATACTTCAGAGTACACAATTGCAACTCAAAGCCCTCTCCTGGCACCTGCAATTTATATGGGTTGGGGTAGTTCCTACTGAAGCAAACAGGATTCCCCCCTGTCTCCAAACACAGGTGTGTGCAGAGAAAATTCACATTGGGACTGCAGTGACAGGGGATCCTAGGGAGCACAATTCAAAGTGTTGGTGCTGACCTTTAAAGCCCTAAATGGCCTCGGTCCAGTATACCTGAAGGGGCATCTCCACCCCCATCGTTCTGCCCAGACACTGAGGTCTAGTGCCGGGGGCCTTCTGGTGGTTCCCTCCCTGCGAGAAGCCAAGTTACAGGGAACCAGGCAGAGGGCCTTCTCGGCAGTGGCACCCGCCCTGCCACCAGATGTCAAAGAGAAAAACAACTACCAGACTTTTAGAAGACAACTGAAGGCAGCCCTGTTTAGGGAAGCTTTTAATGTTTAATAGGTTATTGTAGTTTAGTGTTCTGTTGGAAGCCGCCCAGAGTGGCTGGGGAAACCCAGCCAGATGGGTGGGGTATCAATATATTATTATTATTATTATTATTATTATTATTATTATTATTATTATTATTATCACCGCGCCCCTGCCCCCCCGGTCTCATGCCAGAATCCAAAGCCAGATCAGGGCACAGGGAGCACTGGCTGGTTCTGCAAGAAAAATTGTACCCTCGGGGGCGAACCTCACAATTAATGTTGGATGTTGTGTGGTCTTCAACTCGCCAGTGCTGCTCCATACTCAGGTCTGGACTCCCAGGACCAGCCTCCATTGCGGGCAGCTGGGCTGACCAGCAGCAGGATAGTGTGGCTCCTCCCCCTTTCATTGGGTCTTGTGTGGGAAGAGGCGGGAAGAGTCAGCCTTTGCCAAGCTGCGCCCTTCCAGGTGTCATTGGACTACAACACCCATCAACCCTAGCCAACACAGCTGTGTCCCCATCAGCCTTGGTGCTGTATGGCTAGAAATGGTGGTAGTTGTAGTCCAACATGTGGAGGGCACCAGCTTGGGGAAGGCCGCCAAGTGTTGTGCTGTTGTTGAATGTCTCAGTTGCTCCCATCTCTGAAGGTTGGATCTCTGCTTGTTTTTCTGATAACTTGTGAAGTCAGGCATCTGTTTTAAGAGTTGAGCTATCTGGTCTTCTATGTGATGCATCTTGTATACTGTAAAGAACTTTGGGTGCCTGGAATCCTGTGAAGAAGGTATTCTGTCCCCTACTCAAAAGGTGTCAAGGAGTTTTATGTGGTGGTGGTGTAGCAAATGGAGAAGCAGAGAGGGAAAACTTGCACAGACTCAATGGACTGAGTGGCAGCTAGAGATGGGTTTTGAGAAGGGGTGCACCAGAAAATGTCCAAATGGATGGATAGATAGATAGATAGATAGATAGATAGATAGATAGATAGATAGATGATAGATAGATAGATGTCTTCATGTTCGCAAGGGGGAGGGGAGTATGTGTCACTTGGATTTTCCGCCTTCGGCACCAAAATATTTTGAGCCAGTCCTGCATCTTGGATCAAGGCTACCGTTAATTCCACACAATGTGTTTTCATCTCAATCAACGGCTTGTTTCCTTGAAGAAGAGTAAAGTTGGAGATGATTTCACATTATCTGGGTGATTCCCATGACAAAAAGGTTTATGTTTTGAGATGGGGTATTTGGATGGCTGAGCTCTGGGCGGATTTGCCTTCATTCTGGATAGTTGTGCGATTTTAACAATTTGGGGTTTTGCAGTTTCTCTTTGTGCTCCGAGAATCCCAATTTCAATTTCAGGCAATCCACTTAAGGCTTTAAATCCTATCTCTCTTGCAAAAGGACTGTTGATTTGGAGTGACAGATGGATCCAGGCTTTCATGTTAATTTGCAGGAGCTGGTGAGCTAGCCAAAGTTGCTGCAGCAGATCCTGCCCATGGCATGTGTGGCAACACACACACACACACAAACACACTTCATTACAAACAAGAGCCGCTCTCCAAAATAAGATGTGCCAAGACACCTTAACAGCACAGATGAGAACAGTACCACCATCTTAGTAGCTGCAAGTTTTTAAAAAACAAAAAACCCTCTGTGGCCTGGAAGCTCATTTCTGAATACCAGACTTAGTACTTGGCCATGGAAAAGAATGTACCTCAGGAGCACCTTGCAGACTGAGTGCCACCACCAAGAATGCCCTACCCTAGAGATCATCCTTAAATCAGCCAGAGCATCCTTTGCTAACCTGATGCCCTCCAGACGTTCTGGACTACAACACTGGTCAACCCAAAACTTCCAGCAAGAACCACCTTGGCACAGGCTGAGGGCAAGGATGTCAGCGAGCCTCCCGCCCTCTTTGATGAAAGCAAATGAGGAAGCACGTATAGCTTTAAAGAGTTACCTTTGTCTTTGCTTAATATCCATTTTTTCCTCATTCAGATTTTTATCAACAACGAATGGCAAAACTCAGAGAGTGGGAAAGTATTCCCTGTGTCCAACCCTGCAACAGGAGAGCAGATCTGTGAGGTGCAAGAGGCTGAGAAGGTAATGTATCCTCGGAATTTGTCTGCTCCTCACGACACCTGGCCTGCCCTATCCCTCGGCTCAGGCAGAGAAACAGATTCCTTCTCACTCCATGTGACAACAGTTCAGCTGGCAAGTGGGCACTTTGCCCACCCAAGGGCCCTCTCTGCCCATCTGAGCCACTGCCAGCCATTGGCGATGGGCAAGGGATTAAGAAGTTTCCTGTGTGGTGAAGAAGCGGAAACATTTATCTGGTAACTTCTCAAAGCCCCTCCACCCTCACCCGGCACAATCAGGGTCACCCTCTCCCAATTACCTGGGAAATGGCAGGCTGTGTGCAAATGGAGAAGGGCTCTTAGGCTACCTCTAAACCTCAGTGCCCCAACCACTCTGGCCTCTGGAGTGGAACTGCAGCCCCAGTCCCCTGGGAGGGTCTTCTGTGCCTGAGGAAGGGGCACTCTGAGGCTTCCCCTCGCTGCCCAAAGTCTGCCACGAGAGGCATGTATCTGCCCTGGTTTACCTGGTTCCAGTTCATGGTTGTCAGCCTCATCTCAACCCTGGTCCATTCCAAGTGCTTCAGACTACAGCCCTCTGCTTTAACGCCAGATCATGTCTTCTTTTCACCTGTGCATGTTTTAATCCACCGAAAGACGCCTTGAGTCTTTTTGAGAGAGAAAAAGTGTGTAAGGAATTTTAAAAACTGCACTAATGAAATGGGTGGGAACAAATCCTAAATGTCTTTCGTGTATTTTTCAAAGACACCTGTCAGTCCGTCAATCCACCAACATCTTTTCTTCCCAACAAGGATTGTTTCTGGTGCCGTGTTTGTACTTTGTACTCACTAAGGTTTCTTCCCCCCCCCCCCTTGACAGCCTGACACAGACAAAGCCGTGAGGGCCGCTCGCCTCGCCTTCTCTCTGGGCTCCGTGTGGAGGAGGCTCGATGCCTCGGAAAGGGGGCGCCTTTTGGACAAGCTGGCTGACCTGGTGGAAAGAGACAGAGCCTTACTGGCTGTAAGTTTTGCAATGGGACTGGTGGGAGCAGGGCGCTGTTTTTTCTGCCCACTGAGAGTACTGTTAAAAAGCTTTGGGCATCAGAATATGACATGCAAATAAGTTTGTTTGATGTGCTTTTAAAAACGTTTTATTAGAGCTGCCACCCAATTAAAAAAAAGTATGATTTTTGTTGATTTGGTAGTTCAGCCATGGTCAACCTGGGACCCTCCAGATGTTGCTGGACTCCAACTCCCATCAGTCCCAGCATCATATGGTCAGATTGGCTGAAGCTGATGGGATGGGAGTTGGAGTCCAAAATATCTGAAGGTTGAACAACAACAACAACAACAACAACAACAACAACAACAACAACAACAACAACATATTTGTACCCTACCCATCTGTCAGGGTTGCCCCAGCCACTCTGGGTAGCTTCTAGCATATATAAAAACACAGTAAAACATTAAACCTTAAAAAGCTTCCCTATGCAAGGCTGCCTTCCAAAAATATATACAATTGCTCACCTTCTTGACATCTGATGGGAGGGCATTCCACAGGGTGGGCGCCACTACCGAGAAGGCCCTCTGGCTTAACTCTTCTCTTCCCAGAAAGCCCTAATGAGAAAGCCCTTGCTCCACATTTGGGCAATTGAGGTCCATGTTTGCTTATGGCATGGGTCAGTTCTTGAAGCCTCCCATGTCAAAACAGCTCCCATGACACGGCTCCTAGATGGCATCTGCCACTGGGCAGGAGTCCTGAGAAGAAGGTCTCTCAGCAAAGCATCCCCTTGCTGAATGCAGGTTGCTGAATTCTGCATCGGGAGAGGCTTCTATACAGTCTCCAAGGGCAGCACTGCAGAAACAGGTGGGCAGACCCTCTTGCGACTGTATAGCTTCTCCCACTCTAGCTCTTTGGGGAGAAAGTTGTGTCAGAGGCTTGTGCCAGGAGCAACTGTGACTGTGTCTGTTTGGGCTGTGGATCCCTCAAACCTTCAGGCTCTGGGGTCCAAACCCACTCTCTGTGCATGTAAACCCCTGCTCTCCAACCCCCTTGACTGGGGCTTTTGTGAGAGATGCCTTTGATGGATTGGGTGTTCAGTGGGTTGCTTGCAGCCTGAAGGCTGGAGGTTGCCAGTCCCCTGCTAGAATAATAATTTCTGAGCCTGTGCAAAGCAAACCTGCCCCCCCCCCCTGCACGCCAAAGAGAGAACGCTGAGCTGCACAGTTCAGGCACGACGCGGAGGAGCACATGTGGTCGGCCCCGACATGGTGGCACTCTTAATGTTATTTTCCACATGTCAAGTGCTTTGAACTAAGCCGGCAAACATCTTAATTCCAGCTTTGTCAACACTTAAATCATCTTACCACCAGTGTATGCTGTAAAATCGCCACGGGGAGAAGGGGAGGGGCCCAGCAAATCAAGTCAGCTCCCTGCCTGTCGCTGGATTTGCGGTTCCCGAGCCAAATTCTTTATTGAGCGGAGCCCACCGCCTACCATGCCATTGACTTCAATTGCAGGATGGGAGGCAGGGGGGAAAATATGGCTATTGCCCTTCCGTATATCAATGGGATTTATGGCTCACATCCATTTGTGTGTTATACCTGCTTTCACGGATACATTTCCCCCAGCTTGGAACTATCGTGGGGAGATAATGGTGCCTCTTAAAAGTGATTTAAGTGATCTGGGTGGAAATTTTATGGGGTTCCTTAAGAGGATCTTTAAGGTCTTCTTTTTAAAAATGGGAATATCCCCTTAAAGAAGGGCCCGTGGCTTGTTTCATTGGGGCTCGGAGCCTTCCTAGAGAAGAGCAGGCTTATTTGATGACGGGCTGGACGCTGTAGATATCACATTGCTCAGCAGGGGTCTTGGCAGCCACGGCAAGATTCCTTGGAGACTTGTTCCAAGGAACAGTGCAGTGGCAAAGCAAAGCGAGGGACACAGAGGAGTGTGGCTTTTTCAGAGCAGGTGTGATGGTATCACCTGCCAAAGTGCTTGGGAATTTGGCCGACCCTTCCATGCTCTGGTAGAAGCATGAGGTGATAAGGAGGCTTTCACATTTGTTTGTGACAGATTAGAGGGAAGTCAGAGCAGGAAGAAAAATAATCAAGCGGAGGCTGGATACATCTTTCTTTTCCTTTAACACAGTTCCCACTTCACACAAGCAGTTTAAATGACACATGTCTTCTCTGCACAAAGTTTTGCATTTTTAACAAAAAGCTAAAGTTTGCATTTCATCTGAAGATATTTGGTTAAAGCTTGATGTGTTTTCCAAACTGAATCTGTGCAGTTTGATGCAGGCACCACTAAGTTCAATGGAGCTTCTCCCAGGAAATGATGCCTGGGGTTGCAGTCATGCTGATCCTGAAAAACAGGGCAGGGTGCTACTTCCTGCTGCTCTTTGGTGCATGTAAACGAATAGATCAAGGCTGCTGCCTGAGATTTTGGGCTCTAGTTGGGGGTTATCACGATGTACTCCTGTTCTTCAAAACTTACTATGATACCACTGTTTCAGAAGGACAAGCTGACCCTTCGGTTTCAATATGTTTCTTATTAGGAGAGGGTTCTGGCACGCTCTCTCCCAGCTGCTGTCATTAATGTAGCAAAGCCCAAGGCTTTCGTTTTTCAGCTTGGCCCCTATCCATAGGAACTTCAGGTTTATCTGGCTGACCTGAGCCCAGTGGCAAAAGGGAGGCAGACAACTCAAGGGTATTGGGTATTGTCAACTTGAATGGTGGAGAAAAGTGGATCTACGGAGCACACATGGTCTTCTGGGAAGTTTTCCTGTAGCTTGCCACCTGCAGATGAACAGGAGCTACGCAAGAACATTGTACATCTCCCAATCATGTCAGTGCGACTTGTACAGGAGAACTTCCTCCTAAGATGCCCTCATTCTGTGCTGTTGGGAATGGACCTCTTTCTGGGATACGTCCTGTGCCCCCATTTATAGCACTGAACTTTGGCAACTACCATCCAGCTACGCCCATTTCTTCCAGGCTTCTTTGCCCACTCCAGTTTGATCGCCAGGATCCCCCACGGTGGCTCGGAAGTTGCTGACACAGCAGCTGAGATGCCAGGAGCGATTTGGGAGCGTACCTTTCAGATTACGTGCTGTTCATCCACACCCCAAAAAATCTTACCACTCCAGCCCCTTTGTACAGCTAGACCAGCCTTAGCTCACAATGGCACTTTGATGAGCTGCTGCAGATACGGAGACAGGAGCAGCTGTCCAAAGGGGCCCTGTAACTTCCCTTTGCATATGGACTAGGCACATGTACCTCTCTACAGTCAGGAATGCACTCTGAAAAGACCGATGTTAAAGAGGCAGTCCCTGGTGTGTGCCCAGCCAACTTCCTCAGGCCTTTAAGGGTCAAAATCTAGTCCTTTGGCTCACAGGCCAAGAGGCGAAAACTCACCAGTTGCAAATTATAATAGCCTTTTTCTACTGTCCTGTCTCTGAATAGGAAATGGTTGTGATCGCTGGCTCTACATGCCTTTTCTTTTGTCTTCTTTCTCCTCCAGACCATGGAGTCACTGAACAGTGGGAAGCCCTTCCTGCAGGCTTTCTATGTTGACCTTCAGGGTGTCATCAAGACTTTGCGCTATTATGCTGGCTGGGCAGACAAAATCCATGGAGCGACCATTCCTGTGGGTAAGTCAAGTCCTTTGAAGCAACAGCTCCTGCCTACGAGGACACGGCTCTCCTGGGGTTTTATTTGTGTCACGAGTAGACCGAGGGCATCTCTGTAGCTCTTAGCCAGGATGGCAGCTATAGAGAGATGCTTCACGTTCACAGGCCGTGTGTGTGACATCTGCCACTGAGAGAGGGATGTTGTCGCCTCCCACTCAGGCTCTTCTCCTGGGGGCATTTGGGCTGGTGTGGCAGGAAGCAGGATGCGGAGTGAAATGGACCGTGGACCAGACGGCTCCATGTTTGGGGAAAGAGTGTGACTCAGAATGTATTATTTGTTTATTGCATTTGCATCCCATCTTTTTCTTCTCTAAGGAGATCAAAGTGGTGTGCACAGTTCTTCCTCTCCTCATTTAATCCCCCCAACAACCCTGTAAGGTTGGTCAGGCTGAGATGCAGTGACCAGCCCAAGGTCACCCACTGAGCTTCTCCATGGCCAAAGGGAGGGGGTTGAACCCTGCCCTCCCAGTCCAATTCTGACACTAACCAATCCCAGAGGCGTTTGAAGGCAGAGCGACCGGTTCAGCTGCACTGGGTGCTGGAGCTGCAAAGGGCACTGCAACAACGATGCAGAGCAGAGTGCGAGAGGCAGGCGGGTGCCAAACTTTAGTGCTGCACCAGGTGCCACTGAAATTTGGAAGCCCAAAGTCTGCCACTGCACCACACACACAGTTGGGGGGGGGGCAAGAGCAGAGAACAACTGCCCATCCTGCCCCCGCTTCTCATTCCATGGCCTTTGGCTCCCGCAACTCTTTTTAGCAGCTCTGCTCAGATGCATTGTGGAGGCTTTGCCACTCAGCCAGAGAACCTGAACATCAATTGCTGCTTGATAGGGAGACTGTGTCCAAAAATGTGCAAAAGAGACTGTGAGTCTCTGAATGTCTGGTGCTCTCAGGCCCCTCCATTTTGTTCCAGTGGGGTCAGTGGGGGTGAAAGCAACTGCAAAGGGCGAAGGGTGCCTGGCTTGCCATCTCTTGGAGAATGCAGCTGCCCTGAACCCCCAGTAACAACAGGCATCTGAACCAGTCTGTGTTGGGAGCTTTCAAGTGTAGAGTCTCTATGCCCTCCCTTCTTCCACTGCTGGCTCAGCCTTCGCCACGGAGGCTTGGGAGCTGGCTTATGCTCCTGCCCCTCCAGCGGGAGAGCATTTGGACCCTATTCCAGAGTTTCTGTGCTATTGACAGAATTTGGCCTGTTCAGTGCCCACTGCAGCTGCTTTCCTTCCACGCACTGCACCAAGGAAAATTTGTTTCATGGTGGTGATTCTTTTTTCGACAAGGAGGGAGGATGACTTTACAGCTCTCTTGGGTTTCTGTTGTCTCACCAAAGGCAGAGATGGCCTTTCCTCCCCTTGGCGGCAGCGCTGAGTAATAGTCTAATATTGCACACAAAGGTGAAGACAACAAAGGCCAGCGTGAAACATGACACAGGGCTTTTCTTCGTTCTTCTAGCAGCTAATTTAGTTGATTTAAAAGGGGCTTGGTGGGTGGGAAAGTTTGTCCCGGGAGGGGGAGAGACTTTAGGAGGCAGACGGCTTAGCCTGGAATAGGAGCACAAAGTCACTGCAGGCAGAGTTAAACCCGGCACCCACCCAGGGGGAACTCTGTGCAGAAGAAGCCAATGTCCAGATGGTTGCACTGGGTGTAATTGGACACCCCCAAACTGACCCCAAAATCTTCAGGGGATTATTAACACCCCTCCCCACATTTGCACACAGAGCCATAGCTTTGGAATGCATGAAATAAGAGTAAATTCTCACCGAGCATGTGCAGAGTGTCTGAGTAATTGCGCCAGCAAGTCATCCACTGTGATGGGCCAGCTGGATGCAGAGGAATGGTGGGAGGCACCAGCTGGGGAACCCCTGGCAGAAGAAGGCTCAGAGCTCAGGGAGTGGTGGTGGGAAAACAATGAGGGAGAAGGGAGAGACTGAGAAGAGGCAGTGTTGAAAGCTGAAGAGGCAGCAGGGTTTAGTGAGCAGGGAGAGGCTGTGGCAGAAAGAAGTTCAGAAGCAGAGACAGGAGGCTAGAGAGGAAGGGGGCCAAGAGGCAGAGATCAGGCAGGCTGTTGAGGAACCCAGGGGGTCTCCCCCTCCTGCTGCAACCAACTCCTCTTCCCCCGGCCCCCCAGAACCTGAGAAGGTATGAAGAGGGCAGAGTAAAGACAGACAAGGCGATACAGCTTCAGCTTGCCTGAGAAGGAACCTGGGGTGGAGGAGATTTAAAGAGTGGTGGGAAGGCAGACATCTTCAGTCTCGTAACTGCCTCATAGGGGCAAGTTCTACCAGGAAGAGTTGCTGCGCTCACTAGGCCTGCCTCCTGGGCTGTCTTGTTGCTTTGAATAAAGAGTTAAGTTCACAGAAGCCATGTGAGTTATTGCTGACTTGCTCCTGGCACCATCCTCTGTCATCTGAGGGCGTAGCTTCAATGAGAGCACGGCTTCTCCTGTATGGACTCACTGGTCTCCCCAAGGTATTGCCTGCCTGACAAATGTGTGCCCTTTTCGGAAGCACTTGCTGCCACATGGATTGGGGCTGCCCCACTGTGTGTTGTTGGCTGCCTGCTGGCTGGTGGAGGGTGGGAAACAGGCCACATGATGGCTCCCATCCTTGTGACAAGTGACTGTGCAGAGGGACGGTGCTCATCCTTTTCCAACACCAACTGAATCTCCATGCTGGGACAAGGTTCATCTGCTCCATTTCTCTTTCAGTCAGACTGAAGGTGCAGGAGCAGGACCCATGAAAAAAGGTGGCCACCCTCATTCACTGCTCCCTACCAGCTACGAGGGAGCAATGGGGGACATTTGTCTAAACAGACAGATCCTGGGATTTACTGCTCCCCAAAAGCCCACTCACCCAATCTCCATGGGTTGGCTAGTTCGTGGGGCACTTTGCCTGGGGTCAGAAATTCAGAGAATCATAAAACTGTAGAGTTGGAAGGGACCACGAGGGTCCAGTTCCTTATAATGCAGGCATCTTTTGCCTCTCGACCCTGAGATTAAGAGTCTCATGCTTCAACAGAAGCCTTGCAATTTTTGAAAGTGAAATCCTGGACTTGAGAAGAAAGAAGTGTTCTGATCCATGGGACCTTATATTAGGTCTTATTCTCCCATTGTTTGCACATGTCAAGCATTAATGTGTTCTGGAGCTGATACCTTGGCTTGAATGCTTTGCTTTTGGGGGGAGGACAGTGGGAGAGCACGTTATTCGCCTTGCCCCCCTTCCAGATAGGCCTTTCAGAAACCTCAGAGAGCTGCTCTGTGCACAAGAGGGAGCTTGATGAATTTATGGTCTTCCTCACTAAGAGGTAGCTTTTTGTGCTCTGATGCTGTTCTGTTGAAAGGGGTTTTCAGGGAGTAAGGCGCACCCGCCCTGCATAGGGACCCTCTGTTGCAATGCTGATCCGTTTCATTAGGACCATTCTGTGGCTTACTTAGCATCCCTGTTAATCCCTCCCGGCTGCAACCATATTTCACTGAGCACATGTGAAAGCCCACTCTAAAAATGCCAAGGAGAATCCAAATGAGAACCACAAATGTTATTGATGCTTTTCTACAACATGTTAAAGTCGGATCATTTTCACTGCTGGGGCTTTCTGAGGTTTATATGGAAACAGTAAAACTTTCAACGTTGCCTGCTCAGTTTCCGAGCACAGGAGGCCCCCAGCTCCGGAAAGATCAATGTTTAGGCAAAGTGGCCCATTTTTGTCAAACTTTGTTATTCTGGTATCACAAACGCTGGTTTTATAGCAGGCGTTGGGCGGGCGGGAAACTCTGGGATGTGACTCTCCACATTCCGACTTTAATCTCCATCCTCTGTGTAAAACATTTGCCAAAAGGAGGGTCTAATAAACAGGTCTGTAAAATTCCACCGTGATTGCAAATGCTGAATACAGGAAGGTGTTGAAAAAGGGCAGCTCTTTCAGAGTCCAGTCGCAGTTTGGAGTTTGGGAAGCCTGTGCACAAAAGAAAACTCTTAGGTGAGGAGGGAAGACCTGGTCGTTTGTGTCTGATCAAATTAATTAGGGCCTTCCCAGGTCCTGATTTAGAAACTGGGTTTCCCCTCACAGTTTTGGCCTCTCATCCTCAGGCACAAGGCAGGGCAGAGACGCTAAGAGGCCATGATGGCCAAACCTGGTGGAACCACCATGGAAATGGGGTGGAAATGTTGACAGGCTGCCTGAAAGGAAAACGAACCAACAGTGAACAGAGGCCGCTGCAGGGCGACAAAAGTCACAGGCAAATGGCTCTGCCCAATATGGACTGATTTTTTGACTCATTTGCTAGGGTGCTTCCACCATGCTGGGCATTTCAGGTGGCACTGCCAAGCCTCGTTCACTCGCTCTCTTTACATCCTGCATTTCCTCCGCGGTGGCTCTGTTTCCCCCTCAGGATTCAGTTGTATACTGGCAAATTTAGATTGCACAATAAAAGTGGGTTGGGCTTTCTTGTGCAACCAGCCCAAATCAGAACTCTTTGTGGTAAATAAAGTGAAGGAGGAAATGCCCAGGGAAGCAGGGGGTCACAATTGCTCAATGCAATATTGCGTAACCTTCTTGCAAACAAGTTAAGAACTAATGCTGACCTCGCAGGATCTCCCTGAAGGTTTTGTGAAAACAAATCAGGGTGGATGCTCACTAAAGAGGTTCTCTGGAAGAGCCCCCAGATCACAGAAAGTCCGACAGATGCCTTTTGCACCATTCTCCTATCCTGTCTTTTTAAAAGGGTGGGGGGAACAGCTCAGCACACATCAAATATAGCCTTTGTCGGGGTGGACACAATCTGATGACCCCATTTTTTAAAAAAATCAATATTTTCAATAATCTCAAAAACTTTACTTAAAAACAAAACAAAATGAAAGATTGTTGTTGTTTAGTTGTTTAGTCATGTCCGACTCTTCGTGACCCCCTGGACCAGAGCACGCCAGGCCCGCCTGTCTTCCACTGCCTCCCGCAGTTTGGTCAAAC